CTTATAATATATCTAAAGTTAAATACTATAACTATAACTAGTTTAGATATATTAATAATAAATATCCTTAATTAAGAAGACTTAGAAACCCTAATTAAGATAAGTAAATACTAAGAGTAATTAATAAATAAAATCCCTAAATTACTATATAAACCTAAATACTAGGAATAATATAAAGCCTATATAATATAATAGCTCTATATAAAGGCATTATGCTAAAATATAACTAATACCTATACCTAAATAGCTTAATTTAAAAACTATAAAAAAGTTTTTAATAAAAAAACATATTAAAGTAAAAATTATATCTTAAATTCTAAAACTATATAAGATAAAGGTAAATAAATATTAAAGGAAATAGTAAAAAACTTAGTAAACTAGTAATAAAAAAAGGAAAAAGACTATATATACTATTTTAAAAGAAAAAAGAGAAAAAATAAAAAAATAAAAATAAACTAAGATACTTAGTATAATAAGGAAAGAAAACAAAGGCCCCTTTAATATAAGGAAATAACTTAAAATATCTAAGATAATTAATATTATCTTAACTTAAATAACTATATAAGAAAAGGAAGAAATAATTAGAAAAAAAATATAAAGTAAGAGATAAGGTTTATATATATTACTAATAATATCCTTAAAGTATAAGATATAGAGGAAAGGCAGCCTAAAATACTATATAATACCTCTATAAAAAAGATAAATAAATTAAAAATAAGTAAATATAACCTTATAAACTACTATTTAATAAACATAATAACAGATAATATACATTAATAAAAAATAGATATCTATAAGGAGCTAGGGAATATAATAATACTAGCAAGCTTAAGAGCTTAAGTATTTAGGCTTATTATATAATAAATACTATAAACCCTTATTATAAAGAACTAAAGTTTAATATTAAAAATATTATAAAAATATTTCTAACTTACTTAAAATATAATAAGATATTATAGCTATTATATAAATATTATTAATATAAAGTATATAAGTAAAAAAAGGAAAATAATAATTACTTTCTTATTATAATTCCTAGTATATCTAATAATAACCCTTATTATAAAATAGAAATAGAAAGATACCTAGTATATTACTAGTATAAGAACCTTAAAGTAGTAGAATTATAATTTAATATATCCTACTACTAATAAATCTATAAAATAAAGAAACTCTATAAAGGAATTTAGCAGTCTTAGTAACTAATTAAAGAAACTAAGAAAGAATATAAAGATATAATCTAAATAAAATAATAAAGAACTTATAATATAATAAACCCTAGGTAAATTAAAAGAGATATAGAAAGTAAAGGACTATTAGAATTTAAAATATATAAACTTAAAAACTTTAATATTTATAGTAACTTATAATATTTCTATAACTATAATAGTAATAGAGAATAAGAAAAATAAGAATAATAAAACCTAATTAAGAAAAATAACAAGACTAAAAATATAAAAGAAAGATATCTCTTTAAACCTAATAATCTAGAAGAAGGATTTAATTAGGTTTTAATTAATAATAAATAATCTAGATAAGGAAACATACCAGATAAATAAAACGCAAAGCTAGAAGAACACCTCTAACAGCAACTATATAACAAGGAATTAAACAGCAACAACAAAATATGCAAGTTGCCCTACCGAATTAACTTAGGAAAAGTAATATGCCTTCTATAATAACAAAGCCACAAAAGATCGACAGATAACTAACAAGTGCTCTAGAAGCCACGCAAGATAACAAACCAGATTACCTAGTACTATAAGCTTAGATTAAGGGAAGATAGCTAAATATATAGATTAATAGTAAAGTAAAAAAGAACTCTATTAATTTAAGAATAGTTATAAAGCTAGAATTATTATAAAAGAAAAAATAACTATTATATTAACTTATTAATATAGAAGGGTAACTCTTTAATTATATAAATAGTATAATAGATTAAGAGATTAATTACCTTAAGGTCTTTATTAAAAGAAGGAATTAAGGAATAAGTTTTAATATTATTCTTTTAGGAAAGGAGATAAATATCTTACTTAGAATAAACTAGCTTAGATAATAAAACCTATATATTAACTAAAGGATAGGCTAGGTTACCGTTTTTAATAACCCTAATAGTAATAGTAAAATAATTATAATAAGTAATAAGAGATTTTAACTTATAATTAAGAGGATTAATATAAATTAATATAAAGTAAAGACTTTATTACCCTTAAAAGAAGTATAATATAAGTATAAGATAGGCTAAAAATAAAAAATAAAAATCCTAGGTATTTTCTAATAATAAGATTTATAGAAGGATAAATTAATAATAATAAGCTAGGATTAACTTAAAAATATTTTAAAGAAATATTAAATATATAATAAATTATTTAAAAAAGAATTAAAAATAAAAGTCTTTAAATATAACTAATAAGATTATAAAATTAAGCTTATAAATAAAAGTCTAGTATTTTAAAGGATTTACCTATTAAATTAAGGAGAATTAGAAGTTTAATAATAATATATTAATAAAATAATTTAAAAGAGATATATTAAAGAATTAACCTTATTAATAAGATTAATAATATTCTTTATATTAAAGAAAAATAAAAAGCTATAACGTATTATAGATTATAAAAGAGTTAATATATAAACTATTAAAAATTAAACCCTATTTCTGCTTATAATAAAACTTAAGAATTAACTATAAGGTAAAAAGATCTTTATTATTCTAGACTTAAAAGAAGTATATAACCTTATTTATATTAAGAAAGGAGATAAATAGAAAATAGTATTTAAAAATAGATTTAGGCTATTTAAATATCTAATAATGCCTTTTAGTTATTAATATATATATAATATTTTAATAAATAATTAATAATATACTTTAATAATACCTAGATATTTCTATAATATATTACCTTAATAATATCTTAATCTTCTTAAATAATAAAGAAGAATATAAAAATATATTTATAAGGTCTTAAAAATACTATAAATACTAAGCTATTAGTTAAATAAAGAATATTTTTATATTATAAAGGTAGACTTCTTAAGATATATTATTATATTAGAGAAATTAAATAGAGAGAAGAAAGTATTTATAATAGTAAAATAAAGAAACTAATAATATTAAGAAATATAAGCCTTCTTAGGCTTTACTAACTATTATAAATAATTTATTAAGACTTTAATAAGATTATAAACCTCTTAATAAAACTTATTAAAAAGATAAAGCCTTTATATAAAATAATAAGGCTTAATAAGCCTTTAATAACCTTAAATAAGTAATCCTTAGTAAACCTATATTAATAATATTTAACCTAATAAAGAAATTAAATTAAAAATAAATTTATTAAATTATACCTTAAGAGGCAAATTAGTTAATAAGATAATATTAAGAAATTATACTTATTGCCTTTTACTTATATAAGCTATATAAAGCAGAACTTAATTACCTAATTTATAATAAGGAATTCTTAATAATTATTAACTACTTTAAAGAGTTTAAATATTATTTAATAAAAGTAAGTATTAAGTTAAGGTTTATATTAATTATTAAAATATCTTATATTTACTAGTATATATAAACTTAATTAATAATAATTATATTATATAAAATATTCATATAAATTTAATTTTATAATTCTTTATTATAAAGGATTTAAAAATAAAAAAGTAAATATAATTAATTAATAATTAAACTATAATACTAGTATTATTAGAGTAAAGGAATAGGTATTAGAAAAAAATAAAAAGGGAAAATACTAGTTTACTTAGAAAATGTAAACTTAAGATAGATATAATAAAAGTAATTAAGGAAATCCTAGGATAATTATAAGAGTTTATTTAAGAATTTATATATATTTATTATATAAATATTAAGAAGTTATTAAAACTTAAATAATTAATATAATAAGGTTATTAAATAATATAAAAGGTAATAAAAAAGGTTATTAAATAGTAAAAGTTTATATTAAAATAAGGTATAATAATATAAACCTTATAAAATATTATAATAATAAAAGTTATAAAATAATTATAAAGCTTAATTATAATAAACTTTATAACTAAATTACTATTTTTAAAAATCCTTTAATTAGAATTTTCTATAATAATATTATAGTTATTATAAGTAGATTTATAAAATTCTTAATTTACTTACCTTATAAAGAAATAATAAATATAAAAGTTATAGCTTATATCTTTTATAATAAGGTAGTAAGAAAATAAGGATTATTAAAAGAAATCCTATTAAATAGAGGCTTAATATTTACCTTTAAATTCTAGTAATTACTTATAGTACTTATAGGAATTAATTACTAACTTATAATAGCTTTAGATTTAAGTAAATAAATAAATAAAATAAATAAATTAAGTATTAAAATAATACCTTTAGTATTATATTAATTATAAGAAAGATAACTAAGTTAAGAAACTACTAAGTGCCTAATTAGTATATAATATTACTTATAATAAAAATATAAAACTTATATTATTTAATATAAATATTAGATTTATACTTAATATATATTATAATTCTTAAGAACTTAAAAATATAAACCTAATAGCTATTATTATAAGTAATAAGCTAAGAGAAATATATAATAAACTTAAGATTAAGCTAGAATTTATTAAAGAAAGATATAAAGATATTATAACTTTAAAAGGTTAAAGAGACTAACCTTTAAGGAGGGAGATATAATTTACCTATTTATTAAAAATATTAAAATAGATTAACTAAGTTATAAACTAGATTATAAGTATTTAAAATTAATTAAAATTAAATAAAAAATAAGAGAAAATTAATATAAATTAAATCTATTTCTAAATATTAAATATTATTTAATTTATTATTTTTTTATTTTTTAAGTTTATAAGTTAGCCTTAAAAGGTATATCTAAGTATCTTTAGAGTTTAATATAGTTTAAATATTTATTACCTCTATAATTAGTAAAGCTTTATTAAGTTAAATTATTATAATTAGCTGCCTTAATTACAGCCTAAACCTAGCTATATATATGCCAGCTAAAAAGCCTTACCTACTTATTAGCTGGCCCCGACCTTCTTCCTATAACCTACCTAAAAGGTCTTTCATCAACCTCTGCTGCCACGCTTTAATTATCCATCACGCTTCCGCAGTAAGTCATCCGACCCGACTTCTAACCGCAACCGCTAACAGCATCACAGCAGCACCGTCACGATGTCTGCTATCTGAAGAAGCCTGCAGCTGCCTAATAAGGCCTTTTATACCAAAATGCCTAACCTAATCCCTTATTTTATAGTAGCTCTTAAAGACTATAAATATAAAGATAAGCCTTATATTATAGTAATAGAGATTAAAAAGGCTTAAGATAAAGAGAATAATATTACCTTTATTAAATAAGCTATTTTAGGCTATAAAGTCCTCTTACTTATATATTATTATTATAAAGAGCTAATAATCTTTAAAGGCTACTTTAAGGAAGAAATTAAGTTATTATAAAAGCTAAAGTAATTTCTTATAATAAAAAAGCTTATAAAAGTAAATAATAAGGGATTTATTAAGGACCTTAAATTAAGGACTTTAGTTAAGAACCTATATAAATAGTAGCTTAATAATATAAAGAAATAATTAGTAAAGCTAATAATGGCTATAAAGCTAATTAATAGCTAGTAAAGACTAGGCTGGTTATAGTCTTAGACTATAAGAGCGCGAGAGGGGGATGGCATACTGCGATATCTGAGATAGAAGCAGGGTAATTGTAGGGTTCTGTGGAAGAAATGTATTAAGTTTTATATAAGTTTAGGTTGCCTAAAGTTAAAGACCTAGTATTATAAATTTGGCGTTAGTAGTAAAAAGAGGATTAAATAAGTTATAAGATAGGCTATATAATTAAATAAGTAAATTAGCTATAATATTAATGTATTATTAATATAAATAAGGGATTTAATTTATTATATTTTAATACTTAAATTAGCTATTAATATAATATATATTAAAACTAATAATAAACCTTAATAAATTATAAAACTAAAAGTATATAAAGTAAAGGAACTTAAAGATATATAAAAAATTAATAAGTAAAAGATATATTTAATTAAGTAGAAAAATTACTTAAAAAGTAAAAATATATAGGAAGTAATACAATACCTTATAAATACTTAATAACTTTAAATAATTTTTACTAATAATCTTAAAGATTAAAAAATTAAAAACTAGGTTTTAATTAATAATATTAATATTATTAAAAAACTAAATTTTTAAAACTGCTATATCCTCCTTTTAAGTAATAATATTACTTATAAGAGAATTTATATTATTAATAATAAATTAAATACCTTACTTATATAATAAACGCTTTTAATAATAAATATAAAATAACCTTATAATAGCCTTATTAACTTCATATTAAGCCTTAAAAAGCTTTTCCTTAGCTTTTTCTTTTACTTATTTTAAATAATTAGACTTATAACTTAAATAAGGAATTAAGAAATAGTTAGTAAAAGGTAATAATAATAAAGGAAATAATATATAAGAAGTAATTATAATACTAAAAGTATTATAAGATTAACCTTACTAAGTATACTTAAAATAAAAAAAATAATACTTAATTATTTTATAATAAAGGCCTTTAGCCTTATAAAAGGAATAAGGTATAATATTAAAACTAAATTTTATAATTAAATCTACTAAATAAATATATTTTAAAGTCTTATAAGACTTTAACTAAAGATTTTATAATATAATAATTAGTAAGGCATACTAGGGAAATAATTAAAAAAGAGAGTTACTACTTATTAAAGCCTAATATAAGGATAAGGAGATATATAAGTCTTAAGGATAAGACTTAATAAAAAGGAGAGATTATATTATAACTTATATAACTATATTATATAATTCTTATAATTTCTACTAATTATAAAAGAATTACTTCTTCTTTTAAATAATCCTTTTTTATTAAGTTACTTAAATTATAATACTTTAAGACTAAGTTATTATAAATTATTAATAATCCTTAAAGATTTAATTATTAAATTACTTTTATTCTTTACTAAACTATAAGGCTACCTTTAATATATAAATTATATTTATTAATACTTTTATAAAACTTAGCTTACTAGCTATTAATAAAGTATCTTTATATTAATAAGCCTAATATATATTACTTAATTATTAAGAGATATAATACTTTATATTACTTAGTATTATGCCTTATATAATTTGCAGATATAAACTTAATATAAACTAGTTTACTTATTTAGAAAACCTAATTATTATAAATAAGATTTTATTTTTAATACTTTATATAAGTTATTTTGTAATTTAAATATATATTTTACTTTTATTAATTTAATTATAATTATTATTATAATAATATTAATAATAAAAAGGCTTTTTATATTATTTATAAAGTATAATAAACTTAAGCTATTAATATTATTATTAAAATATATATTATTACTTACTTTTAGGTTTTACTTTAATAATAAGGATAATATTATTATTAAAAGAATTTTACCTTATTTTATTTACTTAAATAATATTACCTTTAATAAAAGTAATAATAAATATTAAAAATACTTAAATATATAATAATATAAGTAATATATTATTAAGGGCTTTTATAAAAAGATATAAGTACTTTAAATCCTTATTTTATAATTTAATGTATTAATTTAGTTTTTATTTTATAATCTTATTATTATTATTTTTTATATTATTTTTTCTTTACTTTTTATATAATTTATTTTAATATAATAAAAGATCTTAATAAAGTAAGTAATACTTTTTATAGTTTTAAGCCTTTATTAATTATTTTACTTTTTAATAAAATAACTAAAAGGAAAAAGAAAAGTATTATATTAAAATAAAAGTTATATTAAAAGATATAACGTTTTAAACTATTTTTAAGGTATTTTATATTATATTTCTTACCTTTAAGTATTTAATTAAATAAAAGGTTTTTTAAAGTAATACTTTTTATTTTTATATTTTACCTTATTAATATTATAATTTAAAATTAATATATCTTAGATATTTTATTATATAATATTTTTAAAGAATATATTATAATAAGTAATTTAATATTATAAAAACTTATTATAGTTATATAAACCTTAAGTAGCTTTATATAATTTAAAATAATATTATAAAACCTAAATAAGTATTATAAGATTTAAAATTAATTTTAAGTTTTAAATTTATAATTCTTTAAGGATTTTATTAATTATTCTTTTAAAAACTTATATATCTTAATACTTATTTATATAATCCTTAATATTAACTAATTTAAACTATTTATAGCTTTCTTTTTATCTTTTGCCTTATAATGCCTTTATAAGCCTATTTGCTATAAGCTTTATACTTTTTATATAAGTAAGAAAAACTGCTTTTTTTTATATATATTTATATAGCTAATAGTTATATATATTTATATATTTTAATTAAGTCTTTACCTTTTAAAGAGGATTTTTAAGTAAACTAAATATTTATTAATTAATATATAAGAGTTATAAAATTATATTTAGTAATTTAATTTATAAGCCTTTAAGTAGCGTTTATTAAAATAAGACTTTAAATAAACTTATAAATAGAATTTATAGTAAATACCTTATAGAACTTATCTAGGCTATAAAATATATAATATAAGTTAAAGAGTTAGGAAAAGAGATTAATATTATAGAAAAGAGGGTTTACTTAGAAATATTAAGGGATATAATATATTACTAATATATAATTTATATAGTAGTAGAGGCTGTTGTTATAGCTATAGCTATTATAGTAGTTATTATAGCAGTTATTAGATAGGCTATATTAGTAATATTTATAACTAGTTAAGAGATAGTAAAATAAATAAGCCCTTAATTATCTTCTTTAATTATTTATATAAAATCTCTAAGATACCTTATTATAATAAATACCATAATAGGTATTATAATTACTAATATAGTAGGTATTATATAGCCTTAAGTTTTATTAAAAATAGCTTAAAAACAGTTTCTTTTAAATTAAGGTAATATACCTATTATATTCCTTAAACCTCTACTTATATCTATTTTATAAGGCCTAAAGAACTTATTTTTCTAAAATAGTAAAAGTTATTTTATTATATACTTATAACCTAGTAGGTATTAAATAAATAGCCTAACTTAATTTAATAATTACTTACTTTAAATATAATTTACTTATAAGTATTAAAGTCTAGTAAATATTAAGGTAAAGTTATTATATTTTATATTAAGGGATTATTAGTAGCTAATATCTTTATAACTATACTAAAACTAAAGTAAGTAAGAAGTTAATATACTTAACTATATTCTCTATTTTAAAAGTTTATATTATATATTAAATAATTTATAATTAATACCTAAGGTCTTTATTTAAGTGTTAATAGTATTAATTTTTATATTATTTATTAATAGCTTATTTTAAGTTTAGGCTTATAATACTAATAAACCTTAAGGCACTTTACTATTACTTATTATATTATTAATAATAAGCCTTATATTAGTTATTAATTAGATTTTAATAATAGCTATATAAATTATTAATAAGATAAGCTCTTTATATTATTATTAAGTTAATATTACTAGTAATTATAACTTTACTATTACTAGCTATAATTTATTACTAGTATTTATAAAAGTAAGATTATTAATAGCTTAATCTTACTAGTAATAAATAATACTTAATTACTAATAATCTTTCCCTTTCCTATATTACTTATATTAGTAAGTGCCTTATTTTAAGTTATATAATTACTAGTGTTTTATTATAAAATAAAATTATACTTATTAATAAGTAGTATAAATATGCCTTTATAGTTATTAGTATTATAAAGGCATTTATACCCCTACTTTTCTAATCTAGCTTACTAGTATATTAGTAAATACTTTATATTTTAAATTATAAAAAGAGGTTACTAATATCTCTATACTGCTATTTAAGTTTATAACTAGTATTATATTATATAAGTAATATTATTAATAATCTTAATTATTAAATTTATCTTATAATAAAAAGGTTTACTTTTTTAAAATATTTTTATCCTTAGTTAGTATATTAATACGCTGCTAGTATATATAGTAGCAGATAGAGGTAATATAAAGTAAGAGAGCGTAAAGTAAATACTAGTAGTAAGAAGGGTAATAAGGTAAGGAAGAATATTTATTTATCCTTATAAGTTTTCCTCTACTAGCAGTAGTGCTAGATTAACAATTATCTAGTAATAGAGGTATAATAAAGTAAGAAGAATTACTTTTAGCTACTAGTAGTAAGATAAATTGGCATGTTTAATTATCTTCTAAACTTTTATTTACTTATAAAAGGGCCAGATTAATTATCTCTATAGGCTGTAAGTATTCCTCTACTAGTAGGACAAAACCTAGGAATGCTTTATTATCTTTATAAGCTTCCCTCTACTAGTAGCAGAACTAGATTACTTAGTACCTTATAACCCTTCTTAGAAACTAAGATAATAGCTTCTAGGAGTTAGTATATTAGCTAGCTACTAGTAGTAGATATATAATATAATAAAGCAGATAATATTACTATTTGGCTACTAGTAGTAAGATAAGGATATAAGCAAATCAGCCTAGGCCTACTACTAGTAGAGGGAAGCTTATAGGTATTATAAGGGAATAATTAGAATGGATTATAGAGTGATAAGTAGCAGAGGTATAAACAAGGTAATTAATACAGTAAGCAGCTTTAAGTTCTCCCCTTATAGTACAGAAGGGTTATAGTATTAGTAATCCCCTAATCGAAATTATTAAGAACTACTTTATCTACTTCGCTAACTTGGTCTATAGCTAGTAGCTACTTTCAAGCTATCTATAACTAGATATAGGTAATGATGATTGCAACTGATACTGCAATAATTTATATAAATACAAAAGCAAGCCCTTAATCTCCCCCTATACCCCTCTAGAGTACTAGGCTAAGCTAAATAGAGGCAATCCTAAACCTAATATATAAGCCTCCAAATAGCAATTCTAGATATATTTAATTAATTTATTATCTTAAAATAAAATATATGCCTTTTATTTAAGCTATTTCTTAGAACTTTTAATATAAAAAAGGTATTATAACTTAGCTTAAACCCTTAAGGAAGTTAGAATATAATTTTTTAAAGAGAAAAGGATAAAATAAAATACTATATATATTTAATATTATAAATATAGCTTTTTTATATTAAACCTTTTAATATATATAGCTTATTTACTATTATTAAGTCTTAGATATATTTCTTTAAATATGGTAAAAATAAAAGCTATTTATAATACTACTTTACCTTTTGTATTTTAATCTTAATATAAGCCTAAGACTATTCCTATATATTAATTAAGTATTATTTATTATATTAAAAGTTATTTAAGTATATCTTATTAAGATTAAAGTATAAATTAGTTAAATACCTTATTATTTTTTTTTAAATTTTTTTAAAATAATTTTAAAGTTAATTAAATTTATATAAATAAGGTAATAAGTATCTAGCTTAATAAAACTAGTAAATTAAAAATATTTTTTTAATATTATTAATTCTTAGCTTTAATATAATATATTTAAGCTTATATTAACTTCTAATACTTTAGTAATTTTAAAATAAGGTAACTGTTTCTTTTATTAACCTAAATACTAATAATATATATTAATTAATCTCTAATAGATTTTATTATTAAATTTATAAGTATTATCTTAAGGTATTATTTCCTTATATATTAGTTTTAGATTACTAGTATAATCCTAGTTCTTAATATATCTAATAATATAGCTGGCCTTTGTTGGTCTTTGGCATAGTATAAGAATAGCATACTATCCTTAGTTATAGCTCTCTAAGCAGAGGAAACACCCTTGCCCCCGGAATGGCTCAGGATAGTCAGGTTAGGATAGTTAAATAATAGGGATTAATATACTAAGTAAGGGTTACGAGATATTATCTCTAGACTAAGATTAGAATAGGAAATACTACTATAAGTCCCTTATTAGGCATATTATAATAAGAACCTTATTATAATTATATTTATAACTTAATTAAGCTTAATGGAGATTTAGTATTATATCTAAAGTAAAACTAAAGAGGATAAATCTTAGTTAGAATTATAAGAATAGCCTACCTAAGAATATATATTAGTAGATCTTTACTTAATATAAAGACTAAGTGTTATTTAGATCTTAATCCAGAGATAATATCTCTTAACCCTTGCTTAGCATATTAATCCTTATTATTTGACTATCCTGACCTGACTATCCTAAGCCATTCCGCCTAAACGCTTTCTTCTGCCCCAATCTCGTCCTCCTCAATCCCCCGCTTCCTCTTCTCTTCTCTTCTCTCTTCACACCACAACCACGCACAAGCGCGCCTCGAACATCAACAGTATGTCTTTCGTTATATACCTGCCTAGTTACAGATGTTTTATCTATTAACCTGGCAATAATAGACCAGATGCTAATATTGACATCCCCTTAGATTTCGCAACACGATGCCTTGACGTGCCGCACGGTCGCGCCTACGCGTGGCGATCGCCGACGTGCTTGCTGAGGAAATGATGGCCTAGGAGGTTGCCATTTCGGTCTTGGATGAGCCGTATAAACACATCGTCGAACATCATGCTCTCTCCCAGTATGTCGACGCATTTATCGACCCCGTGCTCCACCGTCTTATTGTCAGGAAGAGACGTGAAAATACGCTTCCTTAGTATAAGGAGTGGACTGATATCATTTGCCGACTTGTTGAAATTCACAAGGGCTGGTCCAAATATGATGAGACTCACTGGCTGGACCTTTTTTTTGCGGAATATGAAGCCCCCGACAGTGTTAAGGATTACCTTGCTGCGCTGAGCCCAGATGATTCCCCCTTGGGGGAAGAGTACAGGAAATTCCATTGAGTATGTTATCTTTCTTGGCGGCTGCTAGGCGGGTTCTAGATGATAGCTAACATGGAGTTTATCTAGGCTGATGGTAATAAATACCACCTCTATGCACTTCAGCCGGGATTTAACAGGTAAAAATGTTGAATGATATTCCCCTGTACCATTTAGTGATGCCTCTTTTAAATCTGCAATTCCAGCGACGCGTTCTGTGATGCCCCTTCAGCCCCGCACCTCTAGCGACGCGTTCAACGAGCCTCTTCGACTTCCCCATTCCCCATCATGAGCGTCGACCGCAATGAGCCTGATCGGCTTCCAGATCTTCAGAGGCGCGCTCAATGATGCCTCTTCGACATCTTTACCGATGCATTCAGTAATTCCTTTTCGACTTCACAACCTACCTCACCAAATCCTACCAACCTTCGACACCTACGCTCGGATCTTGCGACTGTCTTTTGGCCTCATATTGCGATATTACATTTCTCACAATCGCGCAATCAAGAGCTTCATTTTGATGTATGTTTTGCCCTGATCTCCACCGATTTCTGCGCCTCGATTTCGGCCTCCTGCTGACTTGACCTTGAGCAGATTTAACTACGATCTTGCGACTGCATTTTTGCCTCACATATTGCGATGTTACTTTTCCAATAGTCATAGAATTGAGAGCTTTATTTTGATGTACGTCTTGCCCTGATCTTCACCCAATTCTGCGCCCCGATTTCGGCCTCTTGCTGTACTGCTGTGACCTGGTCCCCTCGCTGACTTGACTCTGCGCAGGTTCACCCCGAGACAACCAGACAGCTGGTAGCTGCCGAAATTCAGACACCTTATGCCAGAAACACTAAATTCTACACCATCTATTCCTCTGCCTACAGCACACTATTGTCTTTTGTGGGCCTGTCTATTCCCCTCTGTAGTAAGGCCTTAACATCACCTTGGAAACAGCTTGGCCTCACCACCTCCCTAGCATCTCTCACCCTTGCGGTCAACACTCCCATATTACCAAATCCCCCCTACAACACCTGCCATTCCGAGGAGGATTTGGCCTTCCTGTCTGAGAGACAGGTCAGCCCAGAGATCTTCGACCTCACTGCCGAGGAAGGTACAGCTGGATGCTGTATAGTCAATGACCATGTCGACCTCACCATGACCCCCGGCGCCGGTGAACACCTAGCCCCTAACTGTGGTAAGCGCTGTCTCCCGACAACCAGGTTGCAGAATGATAATATCATCCAGGCAGGCTCGTTCCTCCAAGTCGAACCCTTCCACGTGGCCAACTGCTTCGCCGAGTTCATCCTTGTCAGGGCTCTGTCCCGATGCGAGACTATTAACAATGTTGAGATCTACGGCACACCCTTCCTGGCTGCTTACTCTGACCTGGCTATGCTCGATCTAGTGGCCGGTGAGGTCTACATGCTTGTCAAACAGGACTCAGAAGGCAAGTTACAGGATTTCACTATCACCGGCCTATCTATAGCCAAGCAGGTGCACATGCTCACCATGACCAACGCAACCCACACCGGCCTTGACCGAATCAACCCAGAAGAACATATCCACTACCCCAGGGACCTGACCTGTCGCTAGGTGCTAGAGGTCAGTTACCCGAAAGGTTCCAGGAAGCCGGATGAGACGGTGCTCCGCCGCCTCGTCGAGGATGAAGTCCCTGCCTGTTCGAGGGTGCCCAGCGACTGGATCCGAGCTGCGTGGAGGGGAGGCTGCCGACGACGCGACGCAGGACCACTGGCGGAAGTGTACAGTCTTTGACTGCTGCTCAGGGGCTGGGGGCGTCTCATGTGGTGCATCTAGGGCAGGCTTTGACGTCCCGTATGCCCTTGACGTCTGGGATACCTATAAGGCTAACCATCCCCAGACTGCACTGTTCCAGATGCCAATGGGTGAGTTCGTATCTAGCCAGAGCCCGGATGGGATGATGGTTGACGTCCTCCACTACTCACCCCCCTGCCCACACTCGCGATTCGGTACAAGACAATGCCAACATCTCTGCACTCTATGGATTAGGCGGGCTGATCACTATGCTGAGACCTAGGATTATCACTGTTGAGCAGACGTTCGGCATCACCCGTAAGGGCCACGCGTCATACTTCCACAACTTCCTTGCCGACTTAACAAAATATGGCTACTCCTTCTGCTTCAAGGTGATCAATCTTGCCGACTTAGGCGTCCCCCAGAGGCATAGACGGGTTCTTAGCATTATGCATACCGCGTGTGATGGACAGATAGCAAGCGAGTTCCAAGTGACCTTATCCAAAGACCGAGCATAACCGTGTATCTCCCTGGTAACACGCAGAAGCATATCTCGCCTGCCCTATACGGCCTGAGCTTCTCTAAGTTATCCTACAGTAGAAGAGGGGACCCGTTGCATCAGAAAACTTCGGACAGAAGGATATTGTCATGAGCAGTCGGCATGAAAGTTGAGATCAGTACCAACACTGCCCTCGGTCAATCTGTTTTGAGGCAGTTACACCGCAAGTACATAAATAATTAATGCTCATCAAATGCGATATGACTGTCGTTAATATATAGATTATTATGGTATTTCAGTATGCTTAACCTGATCCATTTCATGTACCCGTGTGAAAATTTGATCTGGAAATACGCCAGCCCAGACAGACATCTAAAATGAGCTAGGACCTTGCCTTCCCGCGTACTGTTTGTCTTCCACCGAAGCGATATTATTAACGAAATCGCCTGAACTTCGATCGGCTATTGAGTACGACTAACCCCCAACCGAGACGGACTGCAATCGTCACAAGATTGGAATATCGTATATTATCATGGTAAGCGACTGACATAATCAACACCTCATACTAATGGGCCGGCGATTGACCTGCAATTGATGTCATCTAATTAAATAACCTGTGCCTTGATGATCCGATATTGCTAGCATTAGGCTTTCTATCCATACTCCGTACGGCGCCTTATGGAATATGGAATGCAACCTATATAGAACTTAATCTATATATATAGAAACTAAGAAATAACATCATTTATATTATTAACTAAACCAAATCTAGGTTAGAGCTCTGCTAGCCAGCTAAATTATTTAACCCCTCTATATTATTATCCTTAATACCTTCTGCTTTAAGTAACTTTACTAGATAACCTTATATTATCTTGCTTTTAATCTAACTCTTTATGCATTTGCCTCTTTTAATTATATAACTACCTAATTAGCACTAGTCTTATAAAATTATATATTATGCCTTAGAGAAGATGTGCTCTAGCTTGGCAGATATAGCTAGTATTAAGAGGATATTAATAGCTATTTAAGAGAGATAAGGATATATCTATTATTATTTATCTCTAAGCTACTAAGAAAATAAAGAGCAGTTAATAATAATAGGCAGTTATATTATAAAAGCATTATACTTATCTAGCTTGCATATAAATAGGCTAATAATATCAAGCTCCTAAGTAAGTAAGTTATACTTATTAAGGCGCTGTATTTCATCTCTTAGCTATGGTGTCATAGTGGGGAGCAGGAGCTCATATGTTACGACCCTAGCGGTTACGTCACGTGAACCCTATTATTTTCCTCTAATAAAGAACAGAAGACGTTCTTCTAATACTAGACTAACCTTCTAAGTAGTTTAGTCTATTAATAAGATAGAGACTAATAACTTTACTTTAATAGTTTATCTAGACTAATATATAAATATTATTAGTTTATAAAGGACTAATCTTATTTTACTAATAGTCCTTACTATAACCTTAAGTATATAAAATATATTTATTAATACTTTTATAAATTCTAGCTTATTAGCTATTAATATAACTTCTTTATATTAATTATACTTAATATATATTAAATTTATTATTAAGAAATATAATACTTTAATAATAATTAATATATACTTTATATAATCTATTAATAATAAACCTAATATAGCTTAGTTTAATATAATTAAACCTAACTATTATATATTAATAGCTTGTATTTAAATTATATTATATAAATACTAAGTAATATAAATATAATAGCTATATTAGTTACTTCTATTTAGTAGAATATTACTGCTAATATTACCTTAACTTTAGTTAATAATAATTTACTTATTAACTAAGATATAAGAGAAAATAATAATAACTTATCTAAAAGTAATAATAACTTTAATATTATTTAGCTTTAATAGTAAATTATTAATATAATTATTAAAATAATAAAGCTTTACTAAATACTTATTAAAGTAATAAACCTTTAAGCCTAATAGGCTAATAATAACTAAAATAGACTTTAAGAAATATATAACCTTATTAATACTATTATTTATAATAAAAATACTAAAGAAATCCTTAAGCCTAACTTACCTAAGATATTTAATAAAACTCTAAATAAACTCTTTATATTCCTTACTTAGTATTAAGCCTTTATATCCTACTATCTAACTTAGTTTATAGAGGAAGTAAATAAAACTAGGTATATATTAGGATACCTTAAGGGCACTATTATATAATAGTTCTAGCTATTTCTTAAAGATTAAATTACTAAAGGAGACTTAAAAGTCTTTAAACCCTAAACCTATATATTATATACTAATTACCTAGCTTTTAAAAAAGCCTTATAATAAATATTTAAAACTATTAATAAGAAAGGATAAGCTAAAAGGAAAATTAAAATACTTAAATAAACTTAGTTTATATTTAAGCTTAAAGTAAAGTTCTTTTAATTAATATTTAAACTATCTTAAGATTAAGATATATTTATATTATTTTTCTTTAATATACTTAAAGAACTAGTATAAGATAAATTATATAAAGAAACTAAACTTAAAACCCTAGTAGATTATATTAATTAAGTAGGTAAAATTAATAACTAGTAATTTACTTAAAGAATTTAAAACTCTTATTATAATAAATAATAAAATATTAAACCTTATTATAATACTAAGTAAGGATAAAAATGCAATAATAATATATTTTATAATACTAAAGTAGGATTAATAGAAATTAAAATAGTTAAATAAGATAAATTTAAACTTATTTATTAAAACTATAATAAGAAAGGATATAAAGACCTAGAATATAAAAACCCTATTAAAACTAATTAAAAATATAAACTAATACTTAAAGGAAAGAAATATATTAATATTATAAAAAGAATAATAAACCTTAAATAGTAATTAGAATAGTTAATATAATTAAAAAAGATAGATATAATATATTTAGTATTAATTTTACTATAATTTTAGGACTATTAAGAGTATATAACTTATTCTTTAATAAAGATAAGATTTTTAAAAAATATTACTATAACTTAATACTAAAAGAATAATCTAGCTTAAGATATAAAATATTAATATTAATAAGAAAAAGAGAAATTAAAGAAGAAACCCTTAAATAAAAAGACTTAAATATATTAAAAATATAAAAAACCTTAAATACTAAAGAAAATAAAATAAGTAATAAAAGGGTTATAAAAGTAAGTAAAGTATTTAATAAAAAGAAAATTTAAAACTAAAATTAAATAATAAAAACTAATACTTATATAAAAAAAAAAAATAATAAATATAATAAAGTTATAATAATAGTTAAAAAAGGAAAAAAAGTTAACCCTAACCTAAATAATAAACTAAGTATTAAAGAACTTAATTAAGGTATTAACTAAGTATTAATATAAACCTTTAAGAAATTAAAAGTATTTCTTAAGATTTAAATAAAATAATTATATATAACCCTTACTTAATAGTAAATAATATTCTTATTAAAACTACCTTAAAGTAATTTAATAAATATTATAAAGACCTAGGCTATATTAAAGTAATTAAAATATAAAGAGAACTTAATACTAAGAAAATTAATTATTAAAAGGAATAAATAGTTTAAAATATTAAAATTATACCTTAATATAATAAAATTAAAAACTATTTTTAAAATAATAAATACTAAAAATATATAAAACTTACTAAAGAAAAAGTAATTATAAAATAAGATAATAATATTTATATTTAAGCCTATATAAAGAAAGTAATAAAAGATTTTATAACCCTAAAAGAATATATTTAACTAAAAGAGGAATTATAAAGGTATTTATATTACTTAAATATAAGTAAATATTATAAGTATTATATATATAATATTACTATTTATAATATTAATAAGATAAGGTAATAAATAATTACTTTTTAGTTTAAGTTAAGAATATTAAGAATAGAAATTATACTTAATTATTAATATAATAAGATATTAAGTTATATAGAGATATAAAGGATTTTATATAGCTAGGCTAGAAGCTTATATAGAAATATATAAAGACCTTAATATATATTAAAACTCTAAATATATTATATAATAAAGATAATAGTATAATATAAAGTTAATTAAAAGAAGATAGTATTAATAAAGGTATTATTAAAGTTTATTAAGATATAATTAATAAAAAGAAGAACTTTTTAAAAAAAATCCTTAAAAGTATTTTTAAATAGTTTAAAAAAAATAACTTTAATATTACTTATAATAGTAAAAAGAGAGAAAGGAAGACCCCTTATTAATTAAGAAGAAAAAGATATTACCTTAAATTATAAAATAAGAAAATAGCTTATAGAAAATACCTAGTAATTATTAATATAATAAATACCTAGATAACTAAATTATTTATAGTAAATATAATATAAACTACTTAATAATAAGAAAAGTTTATATTATTTATAAAAGAGTAATAGATAAGTAAAGAGCAGAAGAGCCAAACTCTTAAAAAAAGCTTTATAAATAATAATAAAATAAAATTAAAAAACTACTTATAACTAAAATATAAATTAAAGGCAAGTAGCTTAATATATTATAATAATAAAGTAAATATAATATTATTTCCCTTAATATAGTAATAAGCTTTAAATATTATAAAAATATAAAAAAAAAAAAAATTATATTATTATAATAAAAGGAACTAATTATAAATATAAAAATAGAAAAATTATTAAGAGATTAATTACTTTAAGGTCTTTATAAATAGAAAAAACTAAGAATTAACTTTAATATTATTTTAATAAATAGTTTTAACTTAATATTAAATATATATAGCTATAATGCTATAATCCTATATTAATTAAAGAACTGGCTAATAAATTATAAAATTATCCTTTAGATAATAATTAAATAATTTAGGAAATAATAATAAGAATCTTAAACTTTAACTAAAGAGGATAGTAAAGTCTGGCATAAAGAATATTTACCTATTCTAAAGGAATATAATATATATATAAAAAAGGCAAAAGAAAACATATTAAAAGAATAATAATAATCCTTAAAGGTAATTTAGATAATT